TTCCCGCAATGCAAATGGGATTGCAAGTGGTGCTGCCGGATGAGTTGCTGATGGAGTTTTGAAGGAAGTCTCGCACGAAATGCGTTTTTGAGAGATAGCAGATGCACGAAACCCTATGTTTTTCCATACAAAGTCTGTCCCCGAACCTCGATGATCTACCTCTGCGGTGCGACGGGTGCGAGACGGTCTCGTGTGTGGTCGGATCATGCTCGGATCATGGTCGGATCATGCTCGGATCATTCTCGGATCGGTTCCGCATTGTAAATGGGGTTTCAACTGTGTTTCGTCTATGTGCGGTCGACAGAATTCCATTGTGAATTGCAACTGTAGGATCGTTCCCGCAATGTAAATGGGATTGCAAGTGGCGCTGAGGGATGAGTTGCCAATGGAATTCCATTGTGATTTGCAACTGTAGTATCCTTCCCGCAATGTAAATGGGATTGCAAGGTTGCTTCCTGCTTTGGCTGCATACGTAATACTATTGTCTTTTGCAGCTGGACTTCGTAAATCGTATTGGAGTGGCTGCATGAAGGCTGCGACAGTGATTTGTCAGCAGATTTTCTTCATTTAGGCGCTAGTGATTTTCCTTCTAAAAATCTTTTTAAAAAGTGCTTCAAAATCGTTTTTTTTCGCTCTGGCGTCGAGATCCGGTTTTGGAGCTACAATTTCCGCGCTCCAATGCGCGTAGTTCTATTGTCTTTTGCAACTCGTGGTCTCTGCAGATTGCATTGTAATGGCTGCGTCAAGGTTGCTTCGTGCTGTGGTTGCATTCGTAGTCTCGCACGAAATGCGTTTTTGAGAGATAGCAGATGCACGAAACCCTATGTTTTTCCATACAAAGTCTGTCCCCGAACCTCGATGATCTACCTCTGCGGTGCGACGGGTGCGAGACGGTCTCGTGTGTGGTCGGATCATGGTCGGATCGGTCTCGGATCGGTTCCGCATTGTAAATGGGGTTTCAACTGTGTTTCGTCTATGTGCGGTCGACAGAATTCCATTGTGAATTGCAACTGTAGGATCGTTCCCGCAATGTAAATGGGATTGCAAGTGGCGCTGGTGGATGAGTTGCCAATGGAATTCCATTGTGATTTGCAACTGTAGTATCCTTCCCGCAATGTAAATGGGATTGCAAGGTTGCTTCCTGCTTTGGCTGCATACGTAATACTATTGTCTTTTGCAGCTGGACTTCGTAAATCGTATTGGAGTGGCTGCATGAAGGCTGCGACAGTGATTTGTCAGCAGATTTTCTTCATTTAGGCGCTAGTGATTTTCCTTCTAAAAATCTTTTTAAAAAGTGCTTCAAAATCGTTTTTTTTTTTCGCTCTGGCGTCGAGATCCGGTTTTGGAGCTACAATTTCCGACGCCGTTGCGCGTAGTTCTATTGTCTTTTGCAACTCAGTCTCTGCAGATTGCATTGTAATGGCTGCGTCAAGGTTGCTTCGTGCTGTGGTTGCATTCGTAATACTATTGTCTTTTGCAGCTGGATCTCGTAAATCGTATTGGAGTGGCTGCATGAAGGCTGCGACAGTGATTTGTCAGGAGATTTTCTCCATTTTGGCGCTAGTGATTTTCCTTCTAAAAATCCTTTCAAAAAGTGTATCAAAATCGTCTTTTTTTCGCTCTGGCGTCGAGGTCCGGTTTTGGAGCTACAATTTCCGACGCCGTTGCGCGTAGTTCTATTGTGCTTTGCAACTCAGTCTCCGCAGATCGCATTGTAATGGCTGCGTCAAGGTTGCTTCGTGCTGTGGCTGCATGCGCAATACTATTGTCTTTTGCAGCTGGACTTCGTAAATCGCATTGGAGTGGGTGCATCAAGGGTGCGACAGTGATTAGTAGTGCTGTGAATTATAATGAAAGCTTAATAGATGACATATGAGAAGGGACTAGATGAGAAGAGATGAGCTGGGATAAGGTGAGAAGAGCTCAGATGAGATGAAATGTGGAGTGTGAAGAGTGCAGTGTGAAGTGTGGAGCGTGAAGAGTGCAGTGTGAAGTTTGGAGTGTGAAGGAAGCAGTGAGAAGTGAGAAGTGTGAAATGTGAAGTGTGAAGTGTGGAGTGTGAAGTTTGGAGTGCAAAGAGTGCAGTGTGAAGTGTGGAGTGTGAAGTGTGAAGTGTGAAGGTTGGAGTGTGAAGAAAGCAGTGAGAAGTGAGAAGTGTGGAGTGTGAAGTGCAAAGTGAGAAGTGTGAAGTGTGAAGTTTGGAGTGTGAAGGAAGCAGTGAGAAGTGAGAAGTGTGAAGTGTGGACTGTGAAGTGTGAAATGTGGAGTGTGAAGTGCGACGTGAGAAGTGTGAAGTGTGGAGTTTGGAGTCGGAAGGAAGCAGTGAGAAGTGAGAAGTGTGAAGTGTGGACTGTGAAGTGTGAAGTGCGAAGTGTGAAGTGCGAAGTGAGAAGTGTGAAGTGTGGAGTTTGGAGTGGGAAGGAAGCAGTGAGAAGTGTGAAGTGTGGATTGTGAAGTGTGAAGTGTGAAGTGTGAGGTCTGGAGCGTGAAGGCAGCAGTGAGAAGTGAGAAGTGTGAAGTGTGGAGTGTGAAGTGTGAAATGCGAAGTGAGAAGTGTGGACTGTGAAGTGTGAAGTGTGAAGTATGGACTGTGAAGTACGAAGTGTGAAGTGTGGACTGTGAAGTGTGAAGTGTGAAGTGTGGACTGTGAAGTGTGAAGTGTGCAGTGTGAAGTGTGAAGTGTGAAGTGTGAAGTTGGAGTGTGAAGGAAGCAGTGAGAAGTGAGAAGTGTGGAGTGTGAAGTGTGGAGTGAAGTTTGGAGTGCGAAGAGTGCAGTGTGCAGTGTGAGGTGTGGAGTGTCGAGGGAAGGACACGGTCGGGACAGGGTGTCTTTGAACTATAGGTCATTTATGTTTGGGAAACTTCCGCCGCCGGCTTGCCCGGGTCTATGTTATATTATTAACCATCATTAACCATGATTAACCATAGATATTTAACCCTTGGGAAGCCCTGGGTTTTCCATATATATATATATATATATATATATATATAGAAATATAGAAATATGATGGACCGTAGCTGGATGGTGGTCAGTAAACACCCAAAAAGATAAGATCCGATTGAGGCTTACTCTATATACAGATGAACAATCCACTACCCATTGATGGATCATTTCCTGGGAATCTGGAGGTTTTCCATGAATCTATATTGACTTACTCATGCTTTATTATCCACATTCTCCTTGTAGATTAAACAAATTAAACAGCAAAACAATGACAATAGCAGGATGTTAATCCAAGTGGATGTGAGGCAAATTCGTTTCATGCTATATGATATATGATGTTTGGAATATATTCCATATATTATGATATATGATATATGATTTCCATCGTTTCATGTTGATGTTTGCTATATTCAGTATGATTCATGATATATTCCATGAAAACATTCCCCCTGTATCGACCCATTGCATCCCTATATTAATATTCCCTACGTATAAAACACTGCCAGAAATCCCCATCATTTCCCCATTATAAATCCCACTAGATCCCCATATTTATTGGTGAAATCTACAAGAAATCCCTACTAATCCCATGATATGTTCCAGTACATTTCCATCAAACATTTATATATCCCAATATGTCCATTCTATAGTCCCATTTACCCTCTGGTAAATCAACAGTTCGACCTTGAAAATCACCAATTTATAGTGGAAACTAGTCTTCCAACCCCGACAACTTACAGGGTCTATGTTACCCTCTGGTAAACTAACATAACTATGGAAAATCACCATATTTAATGGGAAAAACCACTATAAATGGCCATTTTCAATAGCTATGTTAATTTACCAGAGGGTAATTTACTGGAGGGTATCAGCCATAAAAATATCCCATAGACATCCCAGATCCACGTAGCCAGGGCGAGGCGCCTGGTCTATGAGGCGGCACAGGTGGAGGGTGCTGCCTTCTCGTTGGACAGGCGGCCACGGCCGTGGGGAGAAGTCACTAACTATGGGATTTAGTGTGGATATTACCCTCCGGTAAATTAACATAGACCCTGGCAGTCATCGGGGTTGGAAGACTGGTTTCCACTAAGAAATGCTTATTTTCAGGGTCGAACTGTTAATTTACCAGAGGGTAATAGTTCATGGATCATGGATACCAATGTTCATGGTATTAACTATGTTCATAGTTTGTTAATATTATATAACTAATACTAATAGATTGTGGATACTTAATCCATTAGCTTCATGGATATTGATAGAACTATATTAACATTGTGGATAGTTTTCATAGATTGTGGATATCCAACTATAGTCCAAAGATGGGTAGTTAATAAATACTTATTAATTAACGGCTATTAATATTATTAATGTTCATGGGTATTAATGGGTAGTTCATGAATATTCATGGATTATGAATATTAGTGAATGGATATTAATGTTCATGGATATTACATATTATACTTACAACATGTTATAAACATTACATTGTGATTATGGATAGTTTGCATAGATTATCGATATTAACGGGTTGAATATTCTGGTGAATATTTGTTCGAAATATTAACTATATAGTTTGTTGATATTAACTAATACTAATAGATTGTGGATACTTAATCCATTAGCTTCATGGATATTGATAGAACTATATTAACATTGTGGATAGTTTTCATAGATTATGGATATCCAACTATAGTCCAAAAATGGGTAGTTAATGAATACTTATTAATTAATTGATATTCATATAATTAATGTCAATGGATACTAATGTTCATGGACATTAATGGGTAGTTCATGAATATTCATTGATTACAGTATGAATATTAGTGAATGAATATTTATATTCATGGATATTAATCTTCAGGCTTATAAAAGAATATTAACCTATATATATTATGGAAAGTTGTCATTGTCAACTCCCCAATTTTATTGGTTACCCTCTGGTAAACTGCCACATAACTATGGAAAATCACCATTTTTCATGGGTAAATCCACTATAACTGGGCCATTTTCAATAGCCATGTAGCAAATTACCAGAGGGTAACCCCGAAGAATGGAGATGACCCCCACGTTTTTTCCAAGGGTCAGCTGTTTTTTTTGTCAACTTCCCAGGTTCATCAGCTGGATCACTGGCCACGGTCACGCCGTCGAGGGACCGTCTCATTCCAGCACCCTTCGGCTGGTGGAACGTTTGCCGCACGGTGGAACGAAGTGGATCCGATGTCCCGCCATGAGGATTTCATAGTCCAATGGATTGTGGGGAAAAAAAAAAGGATATCAAGGGGGATATTCTCATGGGATATATTCTGACCAAGTTCATGATATATATATATAGATAGGTAGATAGATAGATAGATAGATATATAGATAGATAGTATGATACAACTAGTTCAACTAACCAACTTCAATATGATTTTGGGTGTGTCTGAAAATGGAAGATTTACCAACCAGTTATGGTCATTCCAGAGACACGGGGGAGTTGTTTTTCCACTCGATCCATTTGGTATCGACTTGCTGAAAAATATCCCACTGAATCTCATGTTTTTTTGCTCACTAGCATACATGTACCCTCTGGTAAACTAACATAGCTATGGAAAATCAACTATTTTTAATGGGTAAATCCACTATAAATGGCAATGTTCAATAGCTATGTTAAATTACCAGATGGTAATATTGGCCAATGCTATTGATATCTATTGAACTTAAATTGATTGTTGATGTTCACCAGCTTACGTATACTAGTACTTACTAGCATTAATATCACGCATCGATTCTTGATTTTTCTTCACCATGCTGTTGCCAATTGCGGCCATTGTTCACCAGCACTCCACTGCCGTTGCGGATCATGATTGGATCAGCGGGATTCAACTTGGACCTTGTTTTTTTTTGCATGGTGACCTACCCTTCAGCAACCTGGACCAATGGAAAATCACCCATTTCTAGATTAATTGATTTACTTCTGGGCCGATGGTGAACTTACTAGGGTTTCCAGTTTGCCAGAGTAGCCTCGGGGTTTGTCAAAAATGCGGGATACCACCCAAAATGTAGCAATTTTCATGATCAATCAGTCCAAGACTTGGTTGAAGGCAACATCTGCAGGACACTTCTATATTTGGAGAGCTCAAATCCATAGTTTTTTGTATTTGTTCGCTTAAACTAAGCCATTGAGCTTGTTTTTCCCCAACATGTTCAGTCACAGCCATGCAGCTTGGTACCATGCTGGCGCTCCTGCTCCGGTGCCCAGGCATGCCATCTCCAAAACGGCCATGGACCATGGCTATACCATGGGCGAAGTGGGCATGCCGCTGGGCGAAAAAGGGGAGAACTTCACTGCTGGAGTTTTTTTGGTACAACCGGTTATACACCTACCAGGGGATACAAAATGATACAAACTATAAACATCTATAAAATATATACACAGAAACTGTTGATGTCCCTATGACAATCATTTTTTTGTCACAGATCATTTGGTTTATCATGATTTTATTCCAGTCGTTGTGTTCATTGCCAATGTTCTCGTGATTTCTCCAATTTTTGGACGGACGCATCTTCTGGGAACATGTCACACCTATCACGCGGAATTTCACCACCCAGACCCCATGTGTTTTCTAACATGTTCTATGTGGTAAACCCAATAATATCATATTCCCAAAATCATGATTTTTTACGGATGGGACTTCATCTCCGAATGGTAGTGGTTTATGGCAACGGTGTTTACCCCACATCAAACTGAGGATTTGCGTGTGTTTGCTCTGCATTGGCGTGGTCTCCTGTGTTTTATGGCCGCGCCGAAGTGCTTGAGTCGCGTGTGTCAAAGACGCGTGACATGCTGCGGTGCTTTCCCAAGTTTGTTGTTGAAAATAGCCAAGCTGCCAAGGAGTCTTATACATTTCTTTTGTAAAGGACCTATATATAGAAATATACTAGGATATACCGACTAGAGTACCAAGATAGTACAGTAAATCAATAGACCTTTTGATGTTGACTGCAAAGCCTTTAAAGCCAAACTTTGGGATTCTTTGGCTATTCCACCGCAGCCTTTTGAGCCAAGTCTTTTGAGCCAAGGACGGTAGACCAACTGGTTTTGGGGTGATCAGCGGTTTTTTGTCAATGAGCAATAGAATCCAATAGCAATAAAGGAGTCATACCGTCATACCTCGAAATTTGAAGCGATATTTCATCCAATATCCTGAACGGCATTATGAGGTACCCTTTCATAATGTTTCACTTTGCGAAACTGGCCCTTTTGTCTAATTTGTTGTTACCTCTTGTGATAACACAAATGTTCCATGGTATTTTCCATGGCTATGGTGTCAATTCGCATGTCAAACCCATGGCACTAAAAGTGTCCAATCGAAGCAATCGACGGTTTCCAACATTTTCATCCCTGGACGGTGCGGCTGATGGTTACGGAGGCGTGATGGGGGCGACCTCATGGTATTTCATGGTTAGTGAGGGCATGTGAGGGCAAGCAAACCAAAAGCGGTTCATTTCCAGATCGGGAGTTGCTATAATATATATATTGTATATAATGTACACATATATATATATATATATCTTATGTATATTTACATGTATATGCATATGTATATGTATATACTGCAGTATATATATATACACATCATTTGCCCAGATGTTGATGACTGACGTGTGACAAGTGTAGAAAGTATAGTAAGTGTCTGAAAATAACTTTGATAGATCCCATGATACCGCGCACACAGAAGATGGTGCCACCCCAGTTATGTTTGTTGATTTACTATACAAACGCCATTAACTAGTTCGATATACGTGTGATATTCTATATAATTGTTTCCTAAAGTAGGGGTACCCCTAAATCATCCACTTATAGATTGGAATTTCATTTTTTTCACCATCCAGCTAAAATGGGTACCCCCATTTTAGAAAACCTCCAATTCCGTTTATAATCATCATATTCCCCATGTTAATAATCCCGCTGAAAATAATCATTATTATATCATCATATTCCCCATATATCATCATAATCATCATTACCCATAGGATCCATGTATGGTATATTTACCTACATTTGGGTGATTTTTAGGGCAAATGTTGGTAAATATTCCATACATGGAGCATGTGGGTTATGATTATACCATCAACAAGTTCGTTCACCGTTTGGGGTCCCCTATTGCCAGGTGCTCACGAGCCCCTTCCCCCGGGGAGGCGGCTGGAAGGGGCCGCCCGTGGCGGCAGAGGCATGGCCCCTTCCAGGCGTGGCGACCGCAGGGGTTGTGGGCGAGAATTGGGTAGTGCCATAACAGTAGAGACATATACAAATTATACAAACATATATACTATTATATCCTATTCTGTTCTATTATACTATGTCATGTTATTTTATGTTAGTGTTCACATTATTTTTTCTTATATTATGTTATATTTTGTTATGTTATGCTTTATTATATTAAAGTTCAATCAAAAGATAACATATTTTATCATATTAGATTTATTGTATATCATTTTATATTTATATTTATATTATTTAATATATACTATATACATTATATTATTATTACATTATATTATAAAGTTTATTATGTTAAACTATAATATATATCTATTTCAATGGTGTAGTGTATTGAGAGTAGTACCACGAACTTTGGAACACTTTGAAACCCACAAAATGTTTGGTGAACATCAGTTTTCCAAGATCCTGCAACATTAATTTCTCCATGCGCCTTTTGGTACCCTCTGGTAAACTAACATAACTATGGAAAATCACCATATTTCATGGTTAAATCAACTGTAAAGGTGCCATGTGCAATAGCTATGTTAAATTACTAACGGGTAATCAACCATGGCAATGGAACATGTCCCATTCAGTTCCTGTAGGACTTTCCGATGAAATGGCACAAAATTTGTTCAAGGATTTCCCAGCCATGATTGATGATATTAATGATTATAGAAATCCGGATGGTATTCCACTAAACACTAGTAATTACCATTACTTAGCATTATTCACATTTTGTTGACCATATAGAACCCATTATCCACCATCAACCACATTTATATCACCATTCCCATATGCTCCATGTATGGAATAGCTACCTACATTCTGGTCAAGTGTTGGGTAAACAGTGGTTAAATGTGAAGCGTTCTTTCAACCAAGATCAGATATCGCTTATCACTTAAGAATTGGTTATCACCATATATGTTTCTTACCAATTATATATACGAATCATATTACCAGTGGAAATCATATATACCAGTATATGTACGTATGTGTAATAATATACCAGTAATTTTCAGTGACACATCAACCATATTACCAATCATATACCAGTAGATTGTTAACTCAATGGATTTGTTTAAGGGATTTGTTTGCAGAAGAAACCTCTATAGTTGATGCATGGTTTCCGGTTAAGATTTTCCCTTAAACCAATCCATTGATGAACCGTTCTTCACGATGTTTTCACCATTCGCCATGGCCATTTTCGTGTTGGACTGCCAGGCTTTGTAGGCTCCGGTGTGGCGGGTACTTCGTCAAACGCTGCCAGCCGGAGCCAAGGGATAGGTGCGGAAGGTGGATGTGGGGAGAAAGATAAAAAACATGTGGCAAACATAGGGACATAAATGGGGATATCATGAGGTATACAATGGGTATATATATACTATATATATATATATACTATATATATATTACATATATATATATATACATAAATTGGTGTGTATATATATGTATATAGAGGATATATAAATAAGATGTAACCATATTTTGATGGAATCGATGGTCAATAATTTGATAGTAGATTAGCCTCCAGTAAACTGCCATATAGCTATGGGAAAAGATCCATTTATAGATAATTACCCATTAAACATGGTGATTTCGTACCTACATATTTCACCAACCACTCTAGATGAGTGACTCCCCCAATGATGTTTCCAGATTAAGGTCTTATGAAGGGCGAGGAACCACTACAGGCCATTAAAAAAAAACAGATATCACTACAAGGGTGACCTTGTGGGCGGCTTCGTTGAAATCTGATATTTTTTCGACTATCCCAGGTATACCTGGAAATTCCCCTATGTTGGGACAACAGAACCGAACCAAAGTGACACATGGAATTTCCCATGGAATTTCCCAAGGTATATATATTGGGGTGATGATTCTCCATGGAATAGATGTGATTTTAAAAGGATGCACATGGATAGAATTGGGACAATACAGGATGATATGATTGTGGTATTCTTGGATTTGCCGAAGATATGATTGGTTCATCCAGAAAATTGTGAATCTACTGTTTTTTTGATATGTGTTATTGTTTCCTCGAGCAAATCCGAGAGCAAACGGGATGATAATCACCACTGACCATGTTCAGTCGTTATTTTCTCTTCCTTGGCATTTCCTGATGGGAGTAGATGGAGGCTTCATCAAAAAAATGACCATTTTAGTATTGAAAACTATGGTTTTGGGGATGAAACCTCCAAATCAATGTCTGGAAGCATGGCATTTTTGGAGACTCCCAGCATGCCTTCCCGCTGCAAGAGAAGATGGGTTCCATGGTTCCGTGGGAAGACGTCCTTTGCTGTGTCCATCGACCAGCTGCAACGCTTGTCAGCTGCCAAAACATGCAGCCAAACTTGACCCAATTCGACAGAAGCATTCACAGGTGCCTGGTCTTTTACCAGTGGCAGAGCTGGTGCTGAATGACCGGCAGCTATTTTTTTCACCGGCTCGCCTACAGACCTGCCTCAAGGCTTGCCTCGAGGCCACAGTTTGGGGTTGAACATGGATCAAGTAAAGAAGGAACATGGGTGTGTCTGAGAATGGGTATACCCCTAGTTATGGCAATTTTAGTAGGGAAGATGACAATCCATTGTTTACCAATTTATTGAACAAACCCACTCTGATTGAATTACATCGATTACTATATTTTGTTGGTTTGTCAGGGTTTTTCATACACGCGCAGGGTAAGCACCACAGATGCCAACAAAAACTTAAACTGTCCAGCAATCAACAAGCCAGCAGGAGAATAACAAGAAGTCAATGAAGTAGTGTAACAATTTCCTGGAAAATTATGTGATATTTTTCAGCTATAAGCTCATCTCCACTACGTCACTCGAAGTATATATATATATAAAGGCGTAAGGGTAGCTATTTGTCGAACTTCTCAGGTGACTTGCTATCATTCTGTCAGATCCTATCTCCAATAGCATTGACTTTTTGGGCAACGCTGCATGGGACATCGCAAGAAACATGGCAGTCATGTGGTTCCTTCCTTCCCAGGGATGGTTTAGTACAAGCAATGACGTGTAGCCAAATTATGACTTGACCGCAGTTGGATATGTCTGAGAATTGTTGGAAAATATACCTCAATGTCAAATGTTTCTGTTTTCTATGTGTGTACCTTTGAACATAGGAACTATATAGAACCATGATTTATAGACAACTGTCATTGTTTAGTAACATTTAGTAACCATAATAGATCATGAATTATAAGCATTATAAGCATTATAAGCGATAAGCCATTCCTTGCGTGGAACTAACCCAGGTAACCACCGTGTTCATCTGGCGAGGCGATGGCACGCAGTACTACCCGCTGTCTCCCCGCGGACGCCGAGCCCAAAGCCTGCCGGGTTTCCATGGCCGAAGACATGGCTGGTGGATTTCTGAGTAAATTCCTATATTTTGATGGATGATAACCATCATCAACCATATTTAACCATCATTAACCATAATTAACCATCATTAACCATATTTAAGCATCATTAACCATATTCAACCATAATTAACCATATTTAACCATAATTAACCATATTTAACCATCATTAACCATAATTAACCATCATTAACCATATTTAACCATCATTAACCATATTTAACCATCATTAACCATAATTAACCATCATTAACCATATTTAACCATCATTAACAATATTTAACCATCATTAACCATAATTAACCATCATTAACCATATTTAACCATAATTAACCATATTTAACCATAATTAACCATATTTAACCATAATTAACCATATTTAACCATCATTAACCATAATTAACCATCATTAACCATATTTAACCATCATTAACCATATTTAACCATCATTAACCATAATTAACCATCATTAACCATATTTAACCATCATTAACCATATTTAACCATCATTAACCATAATTAACCATCATTAACCATATTTAACCATCATTAACCATATTTAACCATCATTAACCATAATTAACCATCATTAACCATATTTAACCATCATTAACCATATTTAACCATAATTAACCATATTTAACCACAATTAACCATATTTAACCATAATTAACCATAATTGACCATCATTAAGCATATTTAACCATCATTATGGATAATTATGGATAATTATGATTAATGATGGTTTTGATGGTTAATCCTATATGGTTCATGATGGTTAAGAAATCCTATAACTAGGAGTACTTGATTCTCAACTAGGATGTAATGTAGTGGATGATAACTAGGGGTACCCTCTGGTAAACTAACATAACTATGGAAAATCACCATTTTTAATGGGAAAACTCACTATAAATGACCATGTTCAATAGCTATGTTAGTTTACCAGAGGGTACCCCCATGACTTAGGAAACCTCCATATTGTACATGTGGAGTTTGTCTCAAAATTGGTGTCCTCAAAACCAACCCGGAGTTTTGTTCAGACAAAAATCGAGGATCATTTGATCTTGACAGAACTGAATCGTCCCAGAATTGGTTCCAAAGTGGGATTGGGATCCTCAAAATCCACCAGAATCAGCTGCGATGCTTGACTTGCTGGATTTGCTGAAGATGATTCTCGAATCTTTCCCGTCGGCTTTATGCAGGATTTGGGAAATCTACTGATAACATGTGATAATATTGTATAGTTTTGTAAAATAATTATATAATGTATATATATATATATTATACATGTTTTTTTAACCGCCCATTTAAACATATCCACGTTGAATAATCCTTCCTCCTGATATTAACCACCCAAAAAAACATAGATTAGTAGGATATGATAACATATGTGGTGCCAGGGTATGGAGCTAACGGGGGATGGGATGAATCATCATTCATCAAAATTAATCGCCGTTAATCAACATCCTGAACCATCATTAACCATCATTATCCATGTTTAACCAGGTTTTCCATTGTTAACCATTGTTCACCATTGTTACCCTCTGGTAAACTAACATAGCTATGGAAAATCACCATTTTTAATGGGAAAATCCGCTATAAATGACCATTTTCAATAGCTAACTATGTTAGTTTACCAGAGGGTATATAACCATTCTCAACCGTCTTAACCATCATAAAAACCATCCCCATGAACCCGGGAGATCCTTAAACCAGTCGAGGTCCGTGTCCAGCGGCGCAGTCGTTGAAGCCAGTCGATGGCTGTCGGACGGCCCAGCGTTTCAGCAGCCGGAGATGGGGAATACCCTACCCTCTGGTAAACTAACATAGCTATTGAAAATGACCATTTATAGTGGATTTACCCATTAAAAATAATGATTTTCCATAGCTATGTTAGCTTACCAGAGGGTAAGATTTGTCATGGTGTGTGTTTGAAAAGTGGAATACCCTTTGGTATAGCCATACATAGTCAACATAGCCATGGAACACCATCTTGGATGGGTACAGTGGATCAAGTATTTCTATGTGCCATTTTCAATAGCTATGTTAAATTACCAGAGGGTATATAATCCCATAGAACTCACCAGTTATAACTAAAAGAATGCCATAACTGTGTGTGTTTGAAAATGGGAGATACCTCGGAAATTGCCATATTTGACGTTAAATGATGAGAAATCAGTAGATTTGGGGGTACAGTATCAGTGTTTTGGAGTGAGCCACACAAATATCGGTCAGTGTTCAAATGACCAATGTCCACTATTTTGAATCAGACGTTTTTTTTTCTGTTTCTTGGGGTTTCTATAAATTAATATCACAAGAAAAAAACTCACTAGACCGGGTACAAGATTTGAACGTCCTGAATGACTGGAGATCAGGACCCAGAGACATGTAGATTCCGAGGTACTCCAAGAACCATTGGCTGGATTGCCATTTCTCATTGTCCTTTGCTTGCGGTAAACGGATGATGGGGACAGCACCCGTTCAGAAATCTACATGCCCAATATGAAAACACTGTTGTGCCAGTCGTTTTTTTTTTTTCAATCATGAACTCGCATTTACACCATTTACCCTCTGGTTATTTAACATAGCCATGGAAAATGGCCCATAGAAATAGATGATTTTCCCAGCTATAAACCTCCATTTGTTTTGGGGATTTTCCATGGCTATGTTAGTCATAACCAGATGGTACAATTCAAATTCAAATACATGGATCTATCCAGCATGTCCTGGTTGCATTTGGTTGCTGGCAAAGCATCTCCAACTTGATGGATCCAATTGATGGATCAATATGGATCAATGAGATCATCGAATCCCAATGGGATCTTGAGTCAACATGAATCATCCTGAATCATCCCCCCAATGGCACTAGATCTCTGGTTGGAGATGTTTTTTTTTTTTGTTTTATGTTGTTTTTCATTTCCAAGTTCCAAGCGACATATTCAAGCATCATGAAGAGACAAAGGAAAGCATAGATGTCCTTTTCTTTTCCCATTGGTTGGTTGATGAAAAAAGAGGGGGTTCTTCAGAAACTTACCCCTTTAACAAGAGGTTTCTATGATGATAGATGGGATTAACCAGCTCCCGGCCCAAACCTATTTTTTCCGAAAGGACATCATTGATGAGAATCGCCATGAATTGGATTCCTGGATGAATTGGATACCCAACCTGGTTATGACTAACATAGCCATGGTATAGATGGCCCATAGAAATAGATGGTTTACCTATTAAACATGGTGATTTTCCATGGCTATGTTAGTCATAACCAGAGGGTAACTATTCATATTCCCATTGCCTAGCCCAAGATGTCCCAAGATGTCCCAAGCTGTCCCAAGCGTAGAATTTCCAAAAAGTTGGTTGATGTTTAACATCCAACGGATTCATTTGGAAATCAACCCAAAAGGTTTCATCAACCGACTTAGGATATCTTAGCATATTCAATCAACTGAAAATCCACAACATGAGCCAAACTGCATAGTCCTCTACAGCTCTCAACACCTGAGAGTGTATGCCTGGATTTGCTGAAGATGATATGTTCTTTTCCTCATGGGAAATCCAGTACTTGAGGAATTTATAGGGGATTAGCTTTCGTTTTTGCGTTTAATCAGCCCAACTGGTTCCATCAACCAACTTTTCAATCGTCCAAAACCATAAAATTTAGCCTGGAATTGGATACCCTCTGGATACCTGATGGAAGCTCAAAATCAACGAACTAACAGTTCATCATTACCAGATGGTATCCCATCCCATTAACATCCCCATGAGTTGCTTGGTGTATCCATATTGAATCACCATGAAAATCCCATGAAATCCTAGATTTACTGTATTAACCATTGTTAACCATTATTGGCCATGATTAGTCACTATCAATCATTATTAACCATTATTAACCGTTATTAATTATCAACCATCATCAACCATTAACCACCATTAACCATTAACCATCAACCATCATGATTATGATCCATTATTGGCCATGATTAGCCATCAATCATTATTAACCCAGCCAATCAATTATTAGTTAACCATTATTAACCATTGTTAATCCCTATCAGTCACTATCAATCATTATTAACCATCATTATGATCAGCCCCGGCCGTGAGGCATAGTCCCTCCAGCCTGGAAGCCTCCTATGCCGGCCTGGGCCGCAGAGCTCCAGTGCGCACGGCACGTGGCTCCACTCCCCCGGCCACGCCGCCGGCGCATAGGCCGGGCCTTTGACGAATCGAGGCTTTCTAAAAGGTTGAAAGGAAGACAACTTCACTTACTCAATATGGTTGTTGTGTTGAATATGAATACAATATATATATATACTGTATATATATATATATCTGTGTGTGATATATATATATATGTGATATATATATATATATTATATATATGTGATATATTATATGTGTTCACTTTGTTGATCAAGAAACGGAATCCCGATGCTTCTTTGTTTGATTGATATGTTCAATGAATACTGTAGCAACGGACTGAACAATCGGATGATTCACACGAAAAGGTTTCATGAGGGTGTTTTTCTCAATCGACTTACACTTACAATCAATCTTTCCCTGACTTTCATATTATGTAATTGTTCTCAATGATAATGATATTATATATTGATGAAGCTGAATTTCAATTTTCAATCAGGCCACAAATATGCTGCAACGAATGCTACGCCGGCAGGGTGGGGAGTCTACGCGAGGCGCGGTTTCGATTAGTGTCGTTTCACCTAGCTGGAAACTTGACGACTCCCTCCGTTTGTACCATAGGAAAGGCTATTTTACCCTGAACGTTTATATATTTTACTACCAATTTTATAGGTAGAACAGGAGGAAATCAGTCGGTCAGTTGGATGGTCGACTGTATTTGCCTACACTTCTTTGTGTTTCGTATATATGTTGTACATGTAAGATATGAACATGACAAACATTGATGATTTGGGAAATGAACAGATTGTCGGATGAGACACACCGATCATCAAGTTGTATCAAGTTGCCATAGGTTAGCATGGTGTTGGTCGTCTAAACTTATATAATTGAAACCATCGAACTTGTTGTTTTCCGTGTCAACATCGTACCCACAGGTTCTAGTCCGAAAAAGAAAAACGAATGAAAACGTGGATTTCTTCAGTGCCCGTAGTTGAGTTGCCAGAAGGTTGCATGGGTGTATACATGGTTGCTTCACAACAGCAATATCATCCCAAGTAATGGACTCTTGAAGTCAGGTTTGTCATTTCTGGATCATACTCCAGCTATGAAACCCACATTTCAGCTGGATATATCCCAGTTTCTAACCACTTTTTGACTTAAAGTGTTGGTATATTGTCGAAAATCGATTGATATATCATGTTATATTCCTATATCATCCTGTATCTTTATGTGTTAAAGCATATGTGAAACATTGTTTTTCCACCATACCCAAAAAAAGGATCCATGGTGCTGCCATATATGGTGTGCCATGGATCCCATCAATATACCCCATAAAAATGTTAGCATATGGCTATGATGGCTATGGATCAATACCTATTGTCATACCATTTTTAGGGGGTTATTCACATCCATTTTAACCCAGCGATTTTGATGTGAACAAAAAAGGGGTACTATAGGTTTTGACACACTGCCCTCCCAGGCCTTAAGCTCCGAGCTGGCAAGATATGCTTGACGCTCGACCTGGCACCAGGGGAAAAACAAACCGTCACCGTTTTAAAGGGTGAACGAACAACAAAGATATACACCGCGGAAGGTGATTTATATGGGTTTTAATAGGGATTTAATGGGGATTTAATAGGGTTTCATTGGGATTTACCTAGCAATGAGGATGAAATGGGATATACACCTTGAAATTTAACATAGCTATTGAAAATCACCATGTTGAATAGGTAAATCATCAAACTAAATGGGCCATTTTCCATGTCGCTATGTTGAATTAATTCTGGGATATTCTGCATAAATTATGTTGCAACCTCACTGTTCTCCCTCACTGGAATGATGGTTAGGATTCGGGGGATAATTAATATCCTTAGTTTCAGGTTAGTGAATTACTATAGTTTACCCAGATAATTGGTATATATAGGACCCCCCCCAAAGAGACAGAAAAATTGGACACCTGGGAAATATAGAGAACATATCATCAACATACGAAAACCTGGAAACACCTTTCGCATTTTTTGTTGGGGATGGTGCTACTAGATTTTTTTAGCATTGGTGATCCAAAAAAAACATCGAAAAAAACACCGTTGTCCCAATTGATCTGTTAACACATAATTTAACCCTGGAAGCCAGAAAAAAATGTGAGTTCAGCAGCACTGACCAATAAAATATAATAAAATGATGATAGCAACTGCGTCATGAATCCCATCAGCAGAATGACACCATCAAAAAACTGTATTGGATTTGCTCATTGTGGGATCCCAAGTGCTGGAGTTGATTTGAGGTGGAGATTAGATGATAAATGGCAGCCTTTTCACTTAACAAGATGCTTATCTTGTTTGGGGTTAGATGGCTTCTCACTAATCTCACTAAAAAAAATGTGGTAAACGGGTCTTAAAGTGTATCCCAATATAATCAGAAATCCCCCATGATAGCTTGATTATTGATTATTGAATAAGTATACTTACCCTCTGGTTATGACTAACAGTTTGCCATGTTTTTTCGATGGCCCTAATCGAAATAGATGGTTTACCGTTCTTAAACATGGGTGGATCTTTCCATGGCAAACTGTGAATGTCATAACCAGATGGTAATACTAAACATAGACTACTAGACTACCCTCTGGTAGTGACTAACAGTTTGCTATTGAAAATGGCCATTTATAGTGAGTTTTCCCATTAAACATGGTGAACCACGGAGACTTGCGATTCTGAAGCACAGGTCCCCTGGAGGCAGATCCATGTCGAGCAGTCCAGGTGCGGGAGTGGGCCATGCCTGTGGGGGTTGATGTTGAGATGAATGTGCCATGAAATGCTATACTGCTTGGTGATTTGGAACATTTTTTTTTTATTTTTCCCCAATAGTTGGGATGATGATCCAATCTGACGAACTCCATCATTTTTCAGGGGGGTTGAAACCACCAATCAGTATATATATATATTAATTATTAATATATAGATATCATAAATTTAACACGTGTGTTTTCGGGAATGGTGATCACATATTTGTTGGACGACATTCCAAAAGGTGCAGTCGTCTGAAGTTCATCCTCCTATTGTCCTGACACAAGCTGGCAGGAAAGGACACCGTATGATAGTATGATCTAAGAAACCAGTATATATATATACGAAAAGATCTAAGTATGGCCCCTATCTATCCCCTGAGTATTGTAAATCGTATTTCTATCAACTTCTACCTCTATTTTCAAATAGTAATCATTCAACCCATCAACCCATCAAGAATAGCATGTTGAATCCCAAATCCATTGGCTTAGAAAATCTTCCTCGGCGAATTGACGAAAAAATGTTGGTGAACTGTTACATGCCCCATTCAGACAGACCGAAATATCATAGTGTTGCTTATATCATCTTATATCCCAGCTATATATTTTCATACAATTATTCATCATATTATATGTAAATTTGTATATCATTATATATATATATATATCATTATGTATCATTATATATCATTATATATCATTATATATCATTATATATCATTATATATCATTATATATCATTATATATCATATTATATCATTATATATCATTATATATCCCTCTCCCCATGTGTGTCTCATTAAAGTCATTTTTATTGTATCCCCCCAAAATGGTTACGTAGTTCCCTTGGGAAAACCGGGGAAAAAAACATCATGATGTCGTTGACCACAGCAGCATGGCTGATCGGAGGCTGACGCCACAAAGATTTCTGGTGGCACACTTGGAGTGGTGATGAAGATCTGTGGTAAACGGGGTAAATGGAACAAACCTTGGATTTTCCAGGGGTTGGTAACTGTCCCATTTTGGGAATATTGGACATCACCTTATAGTAGCCATTATAGACCATATACCTAATGGTTGGGTGATGTTCAATGGGGACATTTAATGACCCATGTTTTCTGAAGATGATTTTTTATTTTCTCAATAGTAAATCCACTACTTGGGGAATCTATAGGGAATATATATATATATATATATTTTTTGGTGGTTCCTTAAGCAAATCCATGAGACTAGCCAAAAAAAAAATCAACGTAGTGAAAATTACAAGTCCATGTTGTTGTTAATGAGATATGCGGGAGAACACTGTCAGCCATAATGTAATATGTATCCATGTATTGATTTTGACACACGCATATTTTTCCGGGAAAACACACAACAACAAAACACGAAGAAATGCAGCATCGGTTTCTTTTTGGGGGATTCAATTGTGGGCCGTATTGGCGGTACTTGAGGAAAGGAAACCTAAAACGCTTTCCATTTTTGTTGCTAACCTCACAACTTTTGCTTACCAAAATGAAATAGCTATGAAAAATAGCTATGAAAAATATCATATAGTTATTTCATATAGTAAAAATAACTTCCATGTCACCCTTACTTGGAAATAGCTATGACAAGATCCACCACTACTTTAGCCATAAATCATTGAACTCCATGGGCTATCTATACCACAACGCTTACACATTTTGAGAAGGCAATTTCCCATCCCGTTTTTTTGCTTGGTTAAATCCATATGAATCACCAGGTTAATATATGTTAATCACCATATTATGTGATAATCACCATTAATTCACCAAAAAAAACACCACTAATTCACCATTGAATCACCACCATTATCTTATTAAACCTCTCATCCTTGCTGTTTTTGGGCGCTCAGGCATCGTTTCCAACACCGCGCAACGCGACTGGCCATCCACGGCGGGCTGGGAGCGTGTATCGGCACGGGAATCCCAGGGGAACGAGGCCGGGGGCAAAGTTGGCATAGTAAGAAAAACAAATATGTTTTGGGATATTGGAACACACATAAATCTATATATATATATATACCTTGCGCATCCTGACCCTTCTTTTTTCTCGGGTTTGACCACAAACCTTGGGTTTCACTCCATGATGATCCCAAACCCTGGGTTTACGCTGCAAACCCTGGTTTTGCAGCAAATCTCGGGTCAGGTACGATTCTTGGCCCATTGCAGGGGGGTTGCTTGGGCCGCGGATTGGTGGCATTGCAGATTTATATTATGTTGTTGGAATGATTTTACCCTCAATGACCTTAAGCGGTGATATAAGGTTTCTTTTCCAAAACCTGGATATGCTTCGGCTCCGTGATTGGTGTGAGTACCTGCTGGTGATGAACAATCACACCCACATTTTTTGTGGACTGATGAAGCCTGATCATGCAAGAGGAGCTGCAATCCTTGATCGTTTTTGGAAACAGTACCGGGTTCAGGTGCCAGATCATCCCGTCTTTGCACTAGCAGACTCCAACCGTCTGAACCTCTCGACATGCATACCGACAATTTTGCATGGTGACGAGGGGCGTGGACGGAAGAGGAGCGCCTTTCTTGTGATGAATTATCACAGCATGCTCGGGAGAGGCCTGGCAACATCAAAAGGTAAAGACAAATATACCAAGTTGCTGCCCAACTACGAAGGGCATTCGCTCACTTCAAGGTTTCTCTTTGCAGCCATGCCCAAGTTGATGTACACTGGCAAGCGAGAACATGTTTTTCACAGCCTCCTTGCCTTGGTTGCAGAAGAGTCCCAAGACTTGTTGCACAATGGTGTGATGGATCGCTTGGCTAGCCGCGGAAAATTTACATTTGCCCTCCTGCAAGTCTCTGGCGATTGGCCATTTCTCTCTGACTCTGCATACATGGAACGCAGCTTCAGAAACGTGCAGAAGCACCGCACAAATGTGCGGCGAAAACCTCCGGTTGGTATTTGCCATCTTTGCAGAGCAGGTCAAGTTGGCTTTAACTTCGAGCAAATCAACACAGTGCAGCCAAAGTGGAGGCCCACTATGCACGCCCAAGATTTGCATAGTGAGGATTGGGGACCATCGCCTCTTGAGCAGGTGCCACATCCTCCTGGCAGATTGGGGCTGCTTTGGTCCTTTGATGTCTTTCATTGCTGGCATTTAGGGGTGGGCAAAAATTTCCTCAGCAGTTTTATAGCAATCTTGTCAGAGCTTCAGCCAGAGTCTTCGGTTGATGACCGCTTTGAGAGTTTGTCCAAACTGTTTTGGATTCTTGCGTGGCACACAAGAAGCAGCCGCATGTCTCAAAGATCTCGAAGGAGCTGATAGGATGGGGCACCACTACCAATTTTCCAACCGGCGGGTGGCACAAAGGAGCCTTGACCACAGTGCTCATGGAATGGGTGGAGTGGCGATTCAAAGCAGAAGGCAGGGCATGGCCAGAAATGGCACAGCTTGCTGGTGAGGCCGCAGTCATGGCCAACTCTTTCCTTCGGGTGCTTTACAGGGGCGAAGCCTTTTTGACGTGTCAAGAAAGCAGAAATGCAGCTGAATTGGGCCTAGCGTTTCTGAAGCGGTATGCTCTTTTAGCGCGCCTTTCAGTTGAGCGCCAGCAGTGCTTGTGGATTCTTCAACCGAAGCATCACGCAATCTCACCTTATATCTCTTGGAAGGGTCGTTCATAGGCCCACTTGTGAACCCAATATGCTGGGCAACACAACAATCAGAGGACTTTGTGGGAAGACCTTCTCGCCTTGCGAGGCGAGTAACCCCTAAACTTCTCCAAGTGGCTCCGAGGGTGCTCCAACGCCATTTGCAGGCATCATATGAACATTTTGCCAAAGCTGGATACATAATTCGGCCGACTAGCAAGGCCTTTGACGGATGAGAGGGCAGCTTAAAACTCCCTAGACTCAGCAACTTTGAGCCATGTCAATTTTTGACATGGCAAACTTCAAAGGGAGGATGTTACAAAGTGTTCACACCTTTTTGGATTGTTTTCCAAGCCCCGTACATCCATTTCAGGCCAGGCACTCTTTGACAATCAACGTCTCACTGGGCTCCGTCAGGAAAAATGCATCAGCAAGAGGCGTGGAAACATGCATAAATTGCAAACCCTGGTTTTGCAATGCGAACCCTGGTTTTATGACTGAACCCTTGATTTTTCCTGGTTTTGGAGTTTCCAGGTATATGTACATACATATATATATATATACACAAATAAATCAATATATATATATATACATACTTATATATTTATGTATATCTAATTGACCAGCCAACGGCATTTGATTTTGGGTGTGCATGAACATGGGCTATAGACGATAAACCGATAAACCACTGGATTTTGGGGTAGCCAATTTTCAGACAAAGCCAAACAAACAGTACGTAGCCAAATCATATCAAGGGGGATAATGTCAACCCCGGATTAATAAACCATGGTTTATGAATTAGGGGGTATTGTCATAATTTGATACTTAAATGGTACCTTCCCAATCAAACAGCCGGGCTAGGGGTTTATTAATCCAGGGTTGACATTACAGGATATAGAACTGGACCTTCTCCAGGGGGATAAGTCAACAACTGGAAGATATGAATGGGTGAAACTCAGATGCTTAAGCACTGATAGTTATATATATATAGTTATATATATAGTTATATATATATATGTATATAAATATAAATATATATATATATGTATATAAATATATATATATATATAGTTATATATATATACACTTATATATTTATTTATATTTATATATATACACATAAGTATGTGTCCAATGATGGGCCCTAATCCCTTATCCCACTGGGTTAATCCACTTGCCGGGGAACTTCCGGCAGGGTCATCGCATGGAAATCCAATGACGGGCATAGCCTGGTGGTGATTCACATAGCTGTTGAACAGCTAGCCATCTTTAATAGGTAAACCCAATGCCATCAACATCACCGAGGGGATTATATCTACCCCGTGGTAAATTAACATCACTATGGAAAGATCCACAATTCTTAATGGGTAAATCCACTATAAATCACCATTTTCAATAGCTATATTTGTTTACCAGAGGGTAAACCCAATGCCATCAACATCGGGGGAAGTCTACCTTCTGGTAAACTAACAGTTTGCAAACTTGAACATGGCCCAGTCCAAATAGTTGATTTACCCACGACAAATGGTGATTTTCGATGGTTTTTTGTATGCTTACCAGAGGGTAGATGCTGACAATGGGTGATTTTCCCAGCCATCTTTCCCGGGTATCTCCAGAGGTTGACGAAGAGAAGAAGGAACTGCTCAGATGTTTGGAGGCCAACTGGCAATTTCCAGCCAAGGGCTGGACTCGTTTAGATCATGAATTCAATAAGCGCATTTATTTACCCTCTGGTAAGCATACAAAAAACTATGGAAAATCACCATGTTTAATGGGTAAATCCACTATAAATGGCCATTTTCAATAGCTATGTTTGTTTACCAGAGGGTAATCTATGACAGAAGTTCCTGAAATAGGCTCACAAGATTTGTTGATGTCAACTATTGCCTGGGTTTTTCTTGGTCAAGCTGGCTTTCCTGCAGAGCAGGGTTAGGATTGGTGAACCTTGTACTCAACGGCCATTGGTGAACTTTGTACTCAACGGCCAGGCATGCACATCGAAATTTACAGTTGGTAAACTGAAATGAACGGTTTTTTTTTTTATTGAATGTATATTATATTGTATTATATGATATAATATATTATATACATTATATATATATACACAGTAAGTTGGATGGGTCAAATCATTGGGTTTCTCCTTGTTTTATTGGATGTTTCAGCAAGTCTAAGACTGGAAACGTCGCAGTCGCCAGGCATCCAATCAGCGAAACCAAGAGCTTGAGCTCGAAAGACAGGTCCTCCCGCCCTGATGGTTTCGATGCTTTCCCATGACTGGACTGTCTATATATGTATATATATATATACCTGGAAAACCGTATGGATATTTTTTTTGTCCACTATGGGTTTTACCCGTAACGGATGTTTTTTTTGTTCCATTGCGTATGTTGTTTTTTGATTGTGAAGGGTTGTTCAAATCCTTTGACAATACCGGGCTCGGACATCCTCCGACAGTCTCCAAAAGAGGAATTTCAGCCCGAAGTGGAGCAAATTGATCGCGATAGGGTATCCAAATCTGGCCACAAATACTGCCTTGTTTCCCAGCAAATTTGGATGTACCCATAAAATACTAGTATTATTTCAACATCACGTTGAAAAATTACAGTAAGCAGATGTCAACATAGCTATTGAAAATGGTGATTTATAGTGAATTTACCAATCAAAAATGGTGGATCTTTCCATAGTTATGTTAGTTTACCATAGGGTAAATAAATGAGCTTACTGTCTCTAAACGAGACACTCATACGTAGTCGGAAGTCCGCAACCGACAGTCATCCAAGATTTCAGGACAACGATTGACCGACAATAAGTAGAGGTTTTGCAGCCGGACATGGCCGTAGTTGGGAAAAAAACCGTCACGGAGAAACACACATGTCCAAACCTGCATGGACAGACAATTCTGTCTTGATGGTTTTCCAGGCAGGACAGGGGTGCTGCCCAGCGAAGTGGATTTTAAACTGCGCAGGGCCAGTTGTTTTGCACATTGGTATGTCGGTGACATGGCAACTTGGCTGACGAGACTTGTTTCCAAAACATTCCAAAACCTAAATGCTCAACTCTAAAACCTAAATCTGAAATGCAGCAAGAAAACCTTTTTCAGTAACATCTTATTAAAAGCGTGGTTTAAAATAAACATAAAAACGCATCAACAACCAAAAAAACAAATGAAACCGAAACAACCCTTAAAGAGTTGGTCCCATGATAAACCTCTGTGCGGCTGCCTGGTGGTTTTGAGTTGTAGGCCGCCAGGCCCCTACTCCAGACCCCATGGCATTGCCATGAGAAAAAACTGGGTGAATGGCTGGTGAAGAGACCATTTGTTTAGGTGTCACCCAGGATTTGTTGAAGGGTAATGTTCACTCTGGATTTTGCCAAGCCATCAGTTAAAGAAACCAGGGAGGATACCAAATGTAGCGGAAACTTGTCCCTTATTTGGGGTACCAATTAAGAGTCAGGGTTTCTTGGTCCAGGGTTGACATTGTTTGCGATTACTGTAACCATGTCTGTATGCAGGTCCCATGTGTTGAATTGCTAGTAAACATTAAAAACCTGGTGTCAGAATACTCCAAATCGTGATTTAGATGCAGTGAAAGATGAGCCAAATCCAAATGATCTGGTTGAATTTCACTGAGAGTTATGGATTCAAAGGAGTA